CAACATAATATTGTATCCGAAGTTTTTAGCCCATTTGATCATGCATTCCTTGACTTGTTCAACTTCTAAATTCATCTGTAACAACATCTTATACATTTTAGCAATAACATGTTTGTCATTTGTACAAAGTTGAATCTCAAAATAAGTTGCTTCATTAACAAATCTATAATTCTTTTTGTCCAACTTGAAATGTTCAAACAATTGCACAAGAGTAAACTAATGACATATAAAACCTTCTAACTCATAACTTTCTCTTGTTTTAAAACTTGGTTCACCCTCCTCAAAATTTAACAAGTCTTTATATTTTAATCACTTCATTTCTCCCACATTTTCCTTCAGATCTTCCAATCACCCATATACCCATCACCAGTATAACCTTGCTGCTGGTCTGTCTCTTCTTCCCTTTTCTTCCACTTTTCCCAGCAACAGAACCTTCTCCAGAGAGCTAGGTCTTCACATCATGTGTCCAAAATACAATAATTTGAGCCTGGTCATCTGTGCCTTGAGTGAGAACTCCAGGTTGATTTGTTCGATGATCCATTTGTTTGTTTTCTTGGGGGTCCACTGTATTCTCACGAGTCCTCTCCAACACCAAAGTTCAAAAGCCTCAATACTCTTTATCCTGCTTCTTCAAAGTCCATCTTTTACTTTCCCACAGTGCCATAGGGAATACCATTGCCTGCACTATTCTGATCCTTGTAGGTATAGACACATCACGGCATTTGAATATCTTTTTCAAGGCCTTCATGGCTACTCTACCAAGCACTAGTCTGTAACGTATTTCTTGATGGCTTGTTTCTTTACTGTTGATAGTTGATTCCAAAGGCCAGAAACCATTAAGGTTAATTTTAACCTCAAAAAGCCTTTAATTTCAGAGAGTTAAACTATAGGTGTTCCTATGCTTTCATCAAAATGTTGTGCAAAAGGGGTGCAACTTAAATCACAATGACATGACTTTGCTTTCATCATTTTTCTCCCTTGATGTGCCCTCCACCCACCCCCTCAAAGGGGTGGCATAAGAAGTTGGCATCCTAATATATTAAGGGAAAGCATACATTTAAAACAATTTCTGAAAATCACTGCTTGAATTAAAGAATCCAGTCAATCAGCACCCTTCTTAGGGCCAACAAAAATATCACAGTGAACAAGCATTCAGGTTCTCCCAAAAAGCAAATAAAGAGAAATTCAAAATTTAGATTCACATTATAGCTACAAGTCTGCATTTGAGGACATCATTAAAATGGAGCATAGGTGGAAATCAGAGACTGAGTTAATTAGCCTCTCCTATGTGTTCTTCCAGGTGTTAAGTGGTTCCTTGGACAGAAACAAACACAGAAACACTTAGCTATCCATTGTTTAAAAATAAAAAACCTAGAAGTTGCTAATGAAGCACACACGTTCCTTCTTACATAAAGGAAGCAGACACAGGCACTCAGCTTTTCCGAGCAAAGTGGAGAAGAAACCCTGGAGCATGTAATGTCCAGACTTTAAACATGCAAAGACTGATCCTTGTTGATTTGTCCAAGTAGAGTGAGGAAAAGTGCACTTTTGGCTTGGTTCTAATGTAGGCAATTACAGTCTGAACCAGCTAGAGAATACCCCTGCCCCAGTCCTAGTCCAACACCTTAACCACCACATTGCATTGGCTCTCTGCCAGATACCCCTGGGACAGCCACCCTCGACACCCTTGGGAAGCAAACCTGCATTCATAATACACCACCCCGTGAGCTGCATGCCAGGAAGCCTGCAAACAGACTGTGCACATGTTGATTCATCTCTGTCACGTTACCCACGTCTTCACAAGGACCAGTTGCGCACCCTGGGTTATGTGCAGATTCAGATTACAGAAACTCTCCCCTCTTTGGAGCTTCTTTTGCAATAAGAGAGAAACAGTTGGACTACAGTAGGAAACACTGTGTTTTAACATCTTCCTACAGCATCAGAATTAACCAATTAGAATTTCCAGGAAAAAACAGACATTTAGGTAAAGGGGAAGCAAGAAAAAAACATTTTTCAAGGATATGGTTTATCCTGTTAGAAATAGTAAAAGTTTAGGCAGGAATCTGCAATTAAACATTTAATTTATTTTGCTGTGTATGTGTTAGTTAAATCCTTATTTTCATTTGCATTCATATTTCTGTAGAAACATAACACTTCAAAAGGATCTTCCTTCTTCCTTTTCCTTTTTTTAAAAAATTCATTGCCACAAACAGGTACAGATACTCTTCTGTTATTTTTATTTTCTGGAACAAAATGATGCTTCTTCCAAGAAACGTTGATTGCCTAATGCCTTCCCCCTTCCTGGATCAGACAATTCAGTCTGAAGTCTTCATATCCGGCAGGCATTTATTTGGTTTAGTTTGTTTTCAGAATGGCCTACTGAGAATTAGGATTAGGATCAATGTAATTCTCAGGCGTCTTGGCTGTGGGAATTCTGGGAACTGAAGTTCAGCACATCGGCAAGACACCAGCCTGGAGAAGGCTAGGTTAAAAGAAAGTAGGAAACAACTTCCACAACCAGGAGAAAGTTGACACTCCAAGTATCAAGTTGCAAAGACACGTTTATGCTACGCATGAAGAAATATTTCCTTTCTTTAAGAACTGTTTGAGCAATCTGACGTTACCAGTTGCACAACACGTTATGGGAGAGTCACGTCTGGGGAAACCAAAGGATGGCTGAGGGCGGTGGTCACGAAGGATCTTAACATTCTGAACAAAGATGAAAACGGGCAGAATCTCTTTCTCTCACGAGAATATGCCTTTGGGGAAAAGGGAATAAAAAATAAAAAAATGGAGAAAAAAAAAAACAACCCAGGATTTCCCAAAAAAAAACGACTTGGGGTAGGTCCTGAGGCAACGGGGCCGCCAGGCTACGGGCGGGAGCGCCAGCCGTCCCAAAAGCGAGGGCGCTCTCTGGGCCCAGGGAGGCGGCTTCTGAAAGGCAAAGCTCGCGGTTTGATTTCTTTCAGTGAGTCGCAGCTTCGCCTCCCGGCCTTAACCGTGCGGGGAGAGGCGGAAGGGTTGCGAGGGCTGGAGCCCGGAGTGGAAGAGGACCGTCGCGAGCAAATTTTGCCCCACCCACGTGGGCGAGGGAGCCGCTCGGCCACGGAGAGGGCGAGGAGAGCGGCCAGCTGCGGCGCGGAGTCTTCCCTGCACTGCCGGACGGGCGCCCGGGAGCGCAGGCGGTGCTGCACATGGACTGGTGGCTTGATCCAGCATAAGGACGTTCCTGTCTTCGACCGAATGGCCCGGACAGGTAGGCGAGCGCATCGGCTTCTGGCCCCGTTGTTCGCGTCTCTGGCGCAACATTTGTAACCGCCACGTTGCACAAATAATCCCTTGCGGGAATTAGAGGTTATTGTTGGAAGGAACCCATGCCAATTCCTGTGCCTTCCTCAGTGGGCAGTAGAGCAGTGCTTCTGAGCATACTTAAAGTGCTTTTTTGTCTTGAGCCCTGCTCCAGGGGAACCAATAACATCATTTGTTTCTGAATACTTCTCTCTCTCTTTCTCAGCTCTGGAAGGAACATATAGAAAGATGAATGAAAGAATCCTGTCTTTGGCTTTGAGAGCACAAGTATTCACATAATGTCCTTTTCCATCCTTCTCCCACCACTGTTTAAATCAGTTAGCCCACTTTGGGGTTCACCATCACCCCTAGAACCATTAATTGGATGTATGGAGTGGAATGTTTGGCTAGTTGTGGTTCAGTGTGGTCTGCAAGCACAGCCTGTGTCAACCCTGGTGTCCGGAAACCTCAGAAGCAATGCTTGTTTTCTTCTGTTCTTGGAAACAGTCCATAACCTTTGAAGTATTTTGCAGGGAAATAGTTGCAACACAACAGTTTAAACATCTCTGTCCTATCAGTTGGTTGTCATTTGGCCAAGGTTAAATATACATTTTAGAATTTTGCAATCTCTTGTCCTTTTGTATAACCTCAACAAAACCGGATTTCCAGGTTGTATGCATGAAATGAATAAAATCTGACATAAGGAAATCACGTGCTGGTCTTACTCAGGTTACCTGTCCTCCTTTTATGTCTAAATGTGTAGCACCATTCAAACTGGCATCCCTGTGCGTAATTTTGGAATCCTCGTGGATAGTATCGACTGTTCATGGGTTTAGCACTTCTAGGTGAATTATCTCGGTGCCAAGACTCTGTGAACCATTTTCCAGTTAGGGGAGAACTAACCAAAGCTAAGCTAGTCTGGGAAATTGGGGGGGGGAAAAAACATCCCAGAAAAAAGCAACAGCAAGTCGCTTATGTAGCCTTGCTAGGAACACTGTGTGATGCATCCATAAAATCACCAGGAATTGCACTTGACTCTGAGATTTTAGTTTTTTTACAGGATGAACAGGTTTGGTTAAATACCAAACAGCATGAAACTACATATGGTTTGGGTTTCAGACTAGTCACTTGCTCTCATGGATTACTGCAGCAGGTAGGAATTGCGTGGGTGGAAATTATTCATAAATTAGAAAACAGTTTGTTCTTTCATTTTCTCTCTTCTACTTCTCTTGGGTCAGTGTCAGCCCTTCAAGGTAGACCAGAGTAAGAAACCAGTGCAATGTAAGTTAGTACTACCTTCATTGTAAAGCTATAGTAACAGAATCTTGCAAGTCTGAAAGCAGTTCCTCTTCCCCTCCCTTTATAGTGAACTAGGGAGGGGCTGATCTGAAACATTTACACTATTTTCTTGGCCTGGGCTCAAGCCCCTTTTATCTGACCTCTGCCTTGGTAACGGCTCTTCCTCCTGTCCTTCAAGGCCATTCCCTCTGCCCTCTACAATCAGAGGTGGACAGTCTAACAGCCCACAGTGTTGAGCTATCCAGGCTGAACTCAGCAGAAATTACCCAGACGCTTGACACAGCATGGCGAGAGAAGAGCTTCATTGCAGACTAGAGCCAAACAGTTGAAAGCCAGGGCCCTCATATGCCAATGCACTTTAAATCTGGCATTTATTTTTCTCAACATTCTGGCTTAATGGGCACCTTGCTTTGGGCATCTCAGGTTTGGAGCTAGGTGGCAGCCTTCTCCAGGAAACTAGTTCTCAATGTAACTTTCACACTAGGCCAAATGGGACCCTCAGAACTCTACTGCAGTCTCTAGTACACATTGAGTCTTTTATCACCCTGCCTCTTCTAGTAATGTCTCTAGATTGTCTCCTGCAGTCTGCAAGCTGCTTGGGCAGGTGAGTCTCATTCCCCTAGGCAGAATAAATGCCAACCCTGTTTTAAGTCGTCAGTGCGTCATTGAATACTAATACTGGGTATAGCTCTGTAAAGGTAACATAGATTTGCAGACTGCACCTAGAAGCAAAACTGAAAGGAATAAATTCTGTATTATTAACTATAATAAAATGTGAATCCATATCAACAGTTGGACTCCAGAGAACAATGCATTCAAAAGTAAAAAGGAGGTATGGTTAGGATTACTTTCTATTGATGAAAAAATGCAGATGCTTTTGGGTGTATTATTAATGCATAGAATAGAAATAGGGCTAATTCTCTGGTATTTCCCCCACTACCACCAGAAAAAAGAAACCTAAAGAGACTTTTCACCGATATCTTTGTGTGTGTGTGTGTGTGTTTTAAACACAACATAGACATGATTTTTCTGTAAATGAAAAGCTAGTTTACAGGACAAGCTGAAAGTGATTTTAAACCATTTTGCTACTAATAGTTTTTTTCCCCTTGTTAATTGTCTTCCCAAACTGCTCTTCTCTACCATGGGGGAAAAAGTATATGAAGATACAGCTTTTTTTCCTGCCATGGGGGATGGAAAGCTTTGATTACCTCCTTGTCAATCTCTTGAGCATAATTAGCAACATGTATGCAACACTTCTAGAAGGGTAATTCTGAGACTGGTAAATCTGAGCATAGGATGGGAAGGAGGGACAAGCAGGTTTTAGGGCAGGATGTTCCCCCTTGCAACAAGCTATGATCCTGCGGCACTGAGTTGAGAAATACCCCATCAGACCCCGTTCTACACTTATGGCTCTTGCTCTTATTGTTTAGACCCCATGGAAACTCACTACTAGAAGTGAGACGCAGTGGTTCCTTGTGTCTCACAAAAGAAATTCTTGTAGGGAGATGTGTCAGACAGGGCTGTAACTTGGTGCCTTACTTTTTAATTGTTACATAAACTCAATTTGACCCCACTTAAGCAAGCTTGATCACCATCCTCCTACGCTAGCGAATAGACATATTTCTATCTTACTGTATACATGAGATGCAGTAATAATGTTGTTAACCTTGACTGGAATGAAATGAGCCCTGTGTTCTTTTGCTCTGTGTTGCAGAGAGGAGGCCTTAGAGATCAGTTCTTCCAAGGCAAGATTCTTCCATTCTCTAAATGCCCCAAAGCTTGAACATGGCAGCTAGATGGCCATGTCATAGAACAAATTAAAACGTTTAAATGTTTAGAGTGGTTTTTCAAATAAACAGGGAGATGTTGCCCATCTGAACTAGGAAACTCAAAATGCCTTAAGATCAGCCTCAAATATAAACCCCTTTCATTCCATCAGAGGCACAGAGTTTATACCCATGGCACTAAAATTATTTACAGCCAAAGCTTGTGCCGGGTTACTGGATGGGGCTCAACTGGGGCCATTATAACAAGATGGCTGTTTTAGAGGGGGAGCAATCATTTTTCTCCATAATATATTCCAGATTGCCAGCTGTGGACCAAATATGATACTAGGTCAGGAAACTGGCATTACTAAGAGGTAGAGACCAGTCTCTAGTTAAAGTTATCCTTTGGTTAGATAAGTCTGGTCTCCTTAGCATTTCATTGATAATTTAAACTCAAAATAGCAAAAATCATTCTGTTAGGAATTGAATTATTGTGGTATTTCTAGCAATGCAGTCTCGATGTTGGAATTTGAGAATGCCAAATAAGCTCTCAGATGATGGGTTTTAGATATGGATCAGGCCTTCCTGCCTAGAGATGTTTCTGCAAATCATCAAACCCAATATTTGTATGAAATTGCAGGTCCAAAATTCAGAAGGGCATTATAATTACCCTGCTTTAACACTCTTCCCCTGGCAGTCGTGGAGCGGAAATACAGTATAAGGCAATTCCTTTTGCAGCTAGAGTTTGCCCTTGCAGTGCTGGAGCCATTGAAAGGACAGCCATCTTGTTTTAGATTAATGGTTTTCAAACTTGGCGACTTTAAGGTGTATGGACTTCAACTCCCAGAATTCCCCAGCTAGCATGTGGACTGGGGAATTCTGGGAGTTGAAGTCCACACACCTTAAAGTTGCCAAGTGTGATGGAACGGAATGAGCTGGGTCAAGGACAAAAGCATCTCG